TTTTATCTGTCTAATACTGTTTTTCTGCTGCTACCCGCTCGTCTCACGCTATTTATATCTTTATTACATAGTTGTCTGGCTACTTTCTATATTCTCGACACCAATTAGTTATTAACAAAGCCTTCTACAATCGTCTGCTTTTAACTCTTATTATAACAAAACTTAAAAATAATAAAATATTCACTCACAAATATAAATTAATCACTAATATTTAAACCAAACAGTCTTTTATATCATGACAATAACACTACCTCTATCAATATGTTAATAAACTAGCAAACAACTATTTAAAAGCACAATTAAGTGGTTTATTTACAGATTTCGACAGAACGTTGATCTGTTTTATTCAGATTTGATGACAGACCAATGTTCAGTCGAAACATATAGCGTGACCCCCCCCCCAAAAAAAACAACAACACACCATTATGCTTACAAATCGCTGTTTGTGAATTTATTATTATAATGTGACTATTTTAGTTACTCCAACCTCGTACTTAATTAAGTTTATAACTGTTTGTTTGTTCTGAATTTCGCGCAAAGCTACATGAGGGCTATCTGCGATAGCCGTCCCCAATTTAGCAGTGTAAGACTAGAGGAAAGGTCATCACACCCACCACCAACTATTGGGCTACTCTTTTACCAACAAATAGTGAAATTGACCGTCACATTATAAAGTCCCCACGGCTGAGAGGGCGAGCATGTTTGGTGTGACGGGGATTCGAACCCGCGACCCTCAGATTGCGAGTCGGGCCATTTATAAGTGAAACTGAAAGACAATAATATACATGGCGCCTTAAAATTTATATCTAAAAGATTTAAACAGCAGCATTTATCTAACAAACAGCAATTATTCGGAGAAAATATGAAAATCTGTACCGCTTATTATTCAGGACTATGAATTCTGTGAATGCACTTATTGACATTTCAATAGACACTTTATTTTGATGCTGACAACCCTTAAAAGAAAACATCAAATAATGAGACCAGAGCAAAAATTGATCTCAATACTTGAAAACAACGGAATCCAGTGAAATAATTACTGAAATAAACACCGTCTTTTCTTTTCTTCAAAGTACGAAGGATTGTATAGAGGTCAACTACGTTACGTCATAATAGTGGGTGATATTCTTTGAAGTGGGTGATATTAATCAACCTATTTTATAATAACGACCTACATTTCGAGCCTAGTGATATATATTCTATTACAGCAGGTCGTGTTATGCTGAGTTGCAAAAAAAAACAACAACAAATGACCTAATAACCCTTGCGAAAAGTCAGATTTTATCTATTTTCACTTGCACTTGTAAAG